CAAATTGCGTACTCTGTTGCAAATGTAACATATGGTTTCATGCAGACTGTGAAAACATTTCGAAGACTGTTTTTAGTATGCTGTCCAAAAATAAAAGCCTGGAATATAAATGTGTAAACTGTGTGGAAAATCCTGCTGATAACTCTGATGATGCATTCAAGAACGAAATGAGAGCACAGTTTGCTAATTTAAGAGCATCTATAAATTCACTTGCCAGTGACATGAGTGTTGTTAGACAAGATCAGAGTGAAATTAAAAGCAAGTTTGAGAGCCTTGCGACTGAAATACGATCCGATTTAACAAATGGTCTCGAAGAGATGAGGGGTGAGGTCCAGAAGTGCAGAGATCTTGTTGACTCTCATGATGCAGTTTATAAAAATAAATTCATGGAACTTGAGCTCCAAAATCATTGCCTTCAACACAGATTAAACCGAGCTGACATTATTGTTTCTGGACTTCCTGGTGATCTTGAAAAATTAAATGATATTGCTGTTAACATTTGTAGTTTGCTCAAGGTGGATATTGCTCTGAACCTTATTGATAGTGCTTTGTATATCAGGAAGCGTCGTTCAATCTTAGTTAAATTTAAGAACATTGTACAGCGAGATGAGGTGATGCGTGTTTACTACAAGTCAAAGTCAATTAAAGTATCCGATGTGATTGGTGGATCTGATGGCTCCCGTGTTTATCTTAATGATAATTATTCTACTTTGGCCAATAAAATTTGGAAAATTTGTATAAAACTAAAAAGAGAAAATAAAATTACTGGTTTTAGCCTTATAAATCGAGAAATACTTACTGTAAAATTTATAATGCCAAATAATGTTTCAAAAATTTTGAATTTTCGTGAATGTGTTGAATTCTTCAAAAGTAATCAATGTAATCTATAACCTTGCTTTTTATTTTTTTATCTCAAACTTTTTTGAATTAATTGTTATCATGGTTAATACAATTAACTGTCTTTTATTAAGTGGTTATACCACAGTTAATGAATTAAATTTTTTCACATTGAAAATATTTTATAAAATCCTAAATATTTTTTATATAGTTTTTATAACTTGGTTCCCCCAAATATATGAATATTGCTGCCTTTTTGATGAGTTATAATATTAATCTGGGCCCTGTAGCAACTGATAATACTATACTGAAAAACTTTACTTCTTCTTTTTGTCGGAATCTTAATATTGGTCATGTAAATGCACAAAGTTTGTGCCCTTCAACCTCCAATTCTAAGTTGGAAGAGTTTAAAAATATTTTTGATGATTGTGGATTGGATATTTTGGGAATATCTGAGACTTGGTTTAAACCTAATATTTACTCAAGTTTGTTGGATCTCGTGAATTATAACCTAATTAGAAATGATCGTTGTTCTCTTAGAGGTGGCGGTGTATGCTTATATATATTAAGGAATTTACGTCATAGGGTGATTTTTAGGGGTATGCAGTATGGTGTTTGTGAGTCCTTGTTTGTGGAAATTTTTGGGGTTGAATCTTCATTTATTTTAGGAATTGTTTATTTGCCAACTGGAGCTATCGATGTTTTTGAGGATATGCATTCGGATATCTTTGACAAGTTCTCAAATATTGTTGTAATGGGAGACTTTAATTATAACTTATTCGATGCTAATAAATCCAATAATTTCCGCTCGCTGGTGAATAGATGTGGTCTTCATTACATTCATAATTCGTTACCCACGCATATAAATCATCCCACGAAAACAACTTCGTTGTTAGATTTGTTTCTTACAAGTCAGCCTTCTTATGTTGCCCACAAAAGTCAAATTCAATACCCATTTTTTTCCTCAAACCACAGTCTTATATTACTCTCTCTTCATTTTAAATGTCAACCGGGGGAAGAATGGATTGAATTTAAAGATTACAACAAGTTTAAAATTGATGATTACTTAGAGGTAGTAAATGAATTTGATTTGCGTTTGATTTATGATGTTCATGATATTGATTGCAAGTTATCAATTTTAAATAACCTTATTAATTTACTCCACTCTTATGTTCCAACTGCACGAATTAAAGCAAATTCAAATCATCAGTCTTGGATGAATTCCCAAGATATAATACAGGCGAGGATTGAAAGAGATAGAGCATATTCTGTTTTCCTTAGAAATCCAATAGATGAGAATTGGAAGACATATAAGCGTTTAAGAAATAGAACAAAAGGAATTATAAGAAAAGTGCGGTTTCAATTTGGAAAAAGTTATTTTGCAAATGTAAATGGTTCTCAAATGTGGAAAAAAGTCCGTCGACTAGGTTGTATTGGTCGTGAGAACATTGAAATTGATGTGAATGAATTTGAGATTTTAGCGAATAACTTCCTGAGTAATATGTGTCCATCTGATAATTTGTCTTTTGATTTTGATAGTTTTGTTGATGACGCCGATTCGTTTTCTTTTCATCCAATTACGGAGTATGAACTCTTATCTTCTCTTAATTCCATTAAATCAAACTCGCTAGGATATGATTCAATACCAATCAAATTCATTAAACAGATTTTTCCAGCAATATCGAGTTCCTTAATGCATATATTAAATACTGTTCTAACCGTCTCTAGTTTTCCAGATGCTTGGAAACTTGGAAAAATAATCCCCATACCCAAGGATTGTCATAACTCAATTGGGAGTTTTAGGCCGATTTCCATATTACCTTCTGTTTCCAAAATCCTTGAAAATGTGATGAAGGAGCAAATTCTGGAGCATTATCGTCAAATCTCATTTTTTAGCCCATTTCAGTTTGCTTTTCGAAAAAACCATAATACAACATCAGCTTTGCTTTCAATTACTGATTCTATTAGAAGACTTTTAAACGTTCATCCTAGCTGTTTGCTTGTTTCGTTGGATGTAACTAAGGCATTTGATCGAGTTAATCACCGCATCTTACTTGAAAAACTTCGTGACCACTGTAAGTTTTCTAAAACAGCGTGTCGGTTAATTTATTCATATCTTTCTGATCGAAGACAGTATGTTTCTTCTAATAATATCAAATCTTCTATTGGCTTTGTGACGTCTGGTGTGCCTCAGGGATCTATTCTAGGCCCTATTCTCTTTCTTTCTTACGTTAATGATATAATTGCTGCCTTAGAAAGTCGGATCTGTGAACCTTATGTTTTTGCGGATGACATCTTCCTTTTATTTAAGTCGTATGACTCGGATCTTGAAATAAATTCCCATCTCCATCATGTTTCTAACTTGCTGTCACTAAATAAGTTGGATATAAATCCTCTTAAAACAAAGGCAATGCTGTTGCATACACGTAGACATGGTTCTTCTTGTCCTAATATTAAAATTGGTTCCACACTTATTCAAACGGTGGAGTCTATGAAATGTCTTGGCATTAATGTTGATTCTAAGTTAGATTTCAGTGACCATATTGATGATATATCAAGAAAAGTGTGTCTTATCTTGAGAAGACTTTATAGCCTAAAAGAGTATACACCAATTGCTGTGAGAAAACAATTAGCACATTCGTTATTGATGTCCTTGGTTAACTACGGAATTGAAGTTTACTCTGGAACTTGGGGATATAATTTGAATATAATTGAACGGTTTGTTCGAAGAATTGTTAGATATGTTTACCAAATTCGTGTTTACGATCACGTACGTACGCTGGAGGCAACGGAAGATTTCCTTGGATGTACTTTTCCAAATTTTGTAAAGCAAAGGATTGTTTTGCATTTCTACAAACTTGTTAAATATCAGCAACCTGAAATACTAGTAACTCAGTTTTCTTTTATTAATTCAGCGCGTAACACACAAATTGATGTTCCCTTAGTAAATAATGCCTTTTTCGAACACTCATTCTTTGTGCGGGTCTACAGAGTATGGAACCCTTTACCAACTCCTTTGAGAAGGTTCTCGTTTTCCTACTTCACCTTCAAAAAAAAGTTGAAAAGTTTTGTAAATAGTGGACATAATTTATAAGTCTTTTTGTTTTCATTTACATATGTCTTTGCTATAGGACCTAAATCTTGTAACATTTATTTAACTTTCAATATTCATATGGCTGGGGAGCCGTTTATTCTAGTTCATTGAATTTTTTAGCTATTAAAAGTAAACAAACTGTTTTTGTATTATTATGATAATTACTACCACAGTATTAGCATTTATTTTTATAGTAATCTCCAATACATGTATAATTGGCTAGGAAGCTTTCTATGTATTGATTTTTTGAAATAAATAAAATAAAATAAAATAAATCCTATTTGAATAATGATAATAATGTTGTAAAATGAAAATAAATATAAATAAGACATTATTAACTATTGCAATTGTATTTATCCTTATTCTAACTTAATCCCCATCCCCTCTACCAATTGGGCTAGGCGCCACATTAGCAACTTGTCGTCCACACTAAAAGCAACCACTTTCTTCAATTACAATTTGCAAGAAATTGTCTGACATTTTCATTTCCTGTTTGCTTTGTGACATCAAAGGAAATAGACACCCTCTCCTTGACCTACTTAACATTGCAGGCGGCACCATCACAACAACGATTTTGCCCCAACTTTGCTTTGCTTTTGCCAACCAACAACAAACAACGTACGGAAGTGCATGAACTGTCAACTACTGTCTTGTGATTTGCCAATATGATCCTTGGCACAGAGAGAATTGAGAGAAGGCAATTAACAACACAGAGTTGTATCCAAGGAGAGAACATATGTACATGGATGGATATGTGTACACAAGTAAAATAAATATGAGTCAAGCCAGAAAAAGAACAACAAAAACACGTTGCTTTAACACAAAAATAAAGCCAAAAACAACAAGACGAAATATGAAACTGGAGTTTCACTTCTCAAAAAAACACTGATACCATGACAAAAACACAAATTCACTCACACACACACCTAAATATAAAACAACGATGCAACAGTAAGCAGAAGTCAAACAACCGCGCCCTTGATAATAAAATCTTTTTGGCAAGGAATTTAAACAGATGTTGAAACAAATTGGAAAAAGTAAACAATGAAATTAGCCAATAAATACTTACACTTTTTGTTTCTGACATGTTGTAGAAGTTCCGAGTAGTTTTTTTTTTTTTTTTGTAAATCAATTGAATTCTGTTTCTATGTAGTTTTCCTTTATTTCTGCTATTCCAAGCAGAGACGTCAAGCACAATTGCTTCTTCTTTTAAGTTAAAACGGTAAATAATGCAACACAACCAATGGATTTCTTTTTTTCTTTGTAGCGGTCTTTTTTCTTGTAAATTCTGCTTAATTCGTCTTAAAATGCTCCACACAAACACACAGATAAAATGAAAGGCAAAATATACGGGGCCACACCAGCTATAGCACTGACTGTTTCTTGCCGACAGAACTCCAAACACAAAATGAAGCAGCCAACAGCAATAATTTCTTATTAACTCACAAAAATGCAATGCAAACAGCACCGCGATGACACACTCCACTATTTCTTTTGGGGTTTATCGACAAATAAGCTTTTCTTTTTTTCTATTTCGTTGATATATATTTCTTGTTAGTTTTCTTGCACTTTATTATTTTTTATTAACACTAAACATAAATTGTCGAACAAATAAAAACGAAAATCGGAATTACTAAACAAATACCCCAACAATAATTATGGCTCTTCTTTCCGTTTTTTCTTCTCACAGCACATAAAACTGTCAACACCTACAATTCTTCGGTTTTTTAATATTTTTGGTTAAACAAAAAATGTAATGACCGGCTTTCATTCAGTTTGTGTATTCAGTCAACGCTTGATTTTTTCCGCAGCAATTTAAACTAAAAACACCAAACAAACTCGTCCGCTCTCTTTATGTTATGAGAATGTTTGCATTGAAATGAAAACTAATTAAAAGCGTTCCAGACACAGACAACTTAGTTAAATGATTTTATCGCCGGCGACTGGTATATCTGAGTCGCCTTGCGATTAATCGACTTTTAGTACTCAATGTTGTGAAAGTCATAGTCGACTCTGGACTGTGGTGAAAACCGATTAATCGACTATTTATAATCGATTGCGCAGCTTATTTGATCTGTTCAAGAACTGCAAACGAATGTAATTTTTTATTTTTTTTTCTTTTCGAGCCCATATTCTGTCAAAACATATACACATTTTGTGCTTTTGTGTGTATGGTTTTGACTAAAAAATGCTATAATTTGAAACAATTTACAATTTGGTTGCAAATTTTCGACGAAATGGGTAACAATTTGTACAATTTTTGGTATGTTCCAAATCCGGCAAGAATCTACTATTTTCGCAATCTTCTTCGATATCATAAAGGGACATCGGTTATCATAGTAAAAACTTTTACATTCTTGCCGTTCTGGAACAGACCAAATATTTTGGAAAACAAAACACATAAAACACAATAATACCAAAACCTGCAAAAATCTCCAAATTTTGCAAATTCTTCGATGTCATAACGGGAAATCTCTATCGAAGAAAATTGCTAAGGTGGTAGATTCTTGCAGGTACCGGAACATAGCAATTACTTTGATGATTCAGAATGCAAGAATCTACTAGTTTGCATTATTTTTTGATTTAATAAAGGAAAAATCGGTTGTCGTAGTAAAATTTTCTACATTCTTGCAGTTCTGGAAGCGCGTTCAGGCTATGCACTTATACTATGATTATGATTATTATCTCGATGTAAGACTTTAATTCTCCCAATCTTACACAAAAAAATAATAATCAATGTTAAATCGAATTATTTTAGAATACAACCCCGTTTTTTGCTCGTAAAAATGCAACTATAGCAGTATTGCTAAAAGTAGCAATAGTGTTCGTGTATCGTTTTCTTACATTTTCAAATAGCTGTAAACAGAAAAAATACAATAACAAACGCAGGCCTTTGGAATAAATAGAAAAAATATTTAAAAAATAAATAAATTATGTCAAGGCAGAAAAGAAAGAAAATTGTGCTTTAATAATATATAATTGAAGAATCAAACATTTATATTTATGAAACGTTACTCAGTGTCATAATTGCAATTCACCTATGTTTGATAACAGTTAACAGGTAAGCAACAGCTGATATTGTTTTGTTCTATGTTAGTGGCAATACATAGTTCTTTTAGTTTGTGGTGGCAATATTGCAATATTTAGTTTTTGTTATGTGAGTGATTGAGAACTTCGGGGACCAAAACAAAGTGAAACAAAATGCGTTTTACACAAGTTTTGCGTTTGCGGATCAAATGCCCAGAATTAACTGCCGCTAAACAACAATATGTGCCTAAACATCAACCAGCAGTGGAAAAGGACATTAAGAAATTGGAAGACTTCCTAATGGACAAACCGAAAATAGTTGTGCTGACGGGAGCGGGCATATCAACAGAATCAGGTGAGAGAAGTGAAGACATCAAATAAAAATATTTTTTTCTTAAACAAGGAATGTTAATTTTCCTAACTAGATAAAGGAATTATGTTAAAAATATTTGTAATGGAAAGCAATTACAATGTTGTTTTTCATTCATAGTTGCGGATGTCAATGTGAAGGCCACTGATTGGCGTTGCCATATGAGAAAATAATTCGTCATAACAGAGATGCCATATTATATTTAAACAAATAACTACATTAGGTTTTTGGCTTAGCTAGCAATTGTGACTAGCGGATTTGTAAACCCATCGAAATTTTTAATGCTCTGTTCCAGAAAATGGAACTATTTATTATATTTCTCCGAATATGAAGAGCCATAAAAAATGACAGCTTATAAACCTCTTCTATTTTTCTTTATTCTTTTCAATGTTGTCGTGGCACAAGGTAAAACAAGGCTATCTCCTAAATACATTTTTTTCTTGTTATGTTTTCTAAAATGTTTCGGGAAGTTGCTAGCAGTACAACACCATCGTATGGAGGGTAAATAAAGTTTGTCATTCCGTTTGTAACACCTCGAAATATACATTTTAGATCCCATAAATTATATATATTCTTGATCAGCATAAAATTCCGTCTATTCGTCTGTGAAAATCACTTTAGCTTCCGAACGAACTGAAGTATATTGATAAAGTTTTACTAGTTTTACAAATTTATAGTAGTCTACAGGACTTTGGGTATTGAAAATGGGCCTTGTAGGCCCCCATATAACGGTACCTCCCGATATTCGATATTTTGAAGATTTTTGATGAAATGCGTATTATGGTTTTAAAATAGTTTTAATTTGGTTTCAGAGGGAAATAATATATGGGAGGTGTGTCCAATTCATCCATTTTTATCTCACCTACCAAATAACATGCTATATATTACACATTATATCACTTCGAGAAGGCTAATATTAAAAATATATATCGGATATATCGGAATGTGAACAAATATATCCAATATGGGCTGATATTATATATATGGTGAACTATACCCGTGAAATCGGATGAAGATACATATGTAAGCGATATCCAAATCTAAACCCAACTTGATAAAAAATTGGCAGGTATATATTTCTGAGCTGTATCTGATATCAGATACCAAGAAACATACATAGTTGTAAAATGCATTTTGCGAATGTGAGGGACTGAAATGCCAATTCGGATGAAACATGTATTTGGAAGTTACAGCTATGTCTGAACCGATTTTCAACAAATTTGATGTACTCGCTTCTAGACTGAATTCGGCCGGATGTGCCAAAATTCAGGTCATTTGGACTGATATTGGGCATTTGGTGCACAATTAAGCCGAAATCGGTCGATATATATCTAGCTATATCTAAATATATCTATATCTAAATATGAATCGATTCTCACAAATTCCAATAGGGTTAGTCCTTTGGTCAAACAAATATTGTTTGGAATATTTCATCTCAATCGGATAATAAATGCGAACTGCATTTTGTTCACAAAAATACATGGACAGACGGACAGATTAATGTGCATAAATCGACTCAGAAAGTGATTCTATGAAGACCCTCGAAAATAAATAAATGTTACAAACAAATGCACAAAGACATAATACCCTTTCTACTATGCGGTATAGGGTATAAAAACCTAGTAACAATTCCGAAAAGGCATAATACACACATTTAACCGTTTTCATGTTTAAAAAAATACAATTAAATCAAATTCACAAGTCTTTTTTTGAAGTAACTTCACAATAGAATTCCACTAGTTATGATATTTAATAAATAGTTCCTCGAATGCGTATTAAAGAGTAAAAAAAAAATAATCTCTAAACACCTGACTCAATGGGTCCAACGTCTTCATATTTCCCCGCAAAGGTGAGAATACATTAAACGCTGTTTTAAGTGGCTTAAGTCATCGGCTGACTTCTTCGTATAGGAACGAAAAAGTTTTAGGTTAACTCAGATTGATTTTGCCTCTAAGCTCCTTTGTTCTTTTTGAAGAAACCAACTAACTAAAGCCAGTCAAAAAAGCGTTTTATGTATTCTCACCTTAAGAACTACTGACTGACTATTGAAAATGTCACTAGTTTACAAAATTTCTATAGAAAAGGGGGTCTGATTGCGGTTGTGGAGAGGGGTTTGGCTTCGACCTCGACAAACATTGTTTGCCTATACTTGGTTGGTAGTTATGGTGTCAAAGTCAATAGTAAATCAGTAGTTATTCACAAACAACTAAATATTCTACCAAAACCATTTTGACAGAAAATTCGGAAGCAAATATATATTCTCCACCATACTATGGAGAGTATGACAAAGTTATTCCATTTGTGACTCCTCGAAATACTCATGTATATATCCCTACAAAGTACATATTCTGATGTCCGTCGGTCTGTTCTAATCACGCTATCTTTCGAACGAATTGATATAGAAGGCTAAGAATTTGCACACGTGCGTATTTTGCCAGTAGGCAGGTTAAAATCGAAGTTGGCCATTTCGGGTATGGTTTTTTTTGGTGATTTTAGGGACATTATTCGTCGGAATTGTTTCAAATTTCGTATTTAAAGCTCTTAAAGGGTACTCGTCTGGGTATAGCCCCCAATTAATGGTACCTCCCTATTTTCGGTATTTTGGTGAATTAGGCGCATCATTCACTGCAAATATTTCAAATTTGTATTAAGTATTTGAAGTTCGTAATGGATACAACATCCTATGACAGAAAATTGTCTGTGCAGGTCCACTTCTTCGTATAGCCCCCATATAACGTTACCTACCGATATTCGGCATTTTGATGATTTTAGCGACATTATTCACCGGAATTGTTTCAAAATTTTGTATTTAGAGTTCATAATTGATACTACAGCCTTAGCCAGAAAATTGTTACTCCCTATATTCGGTATTTTGATGATGTTTGCTACATTATTCACCGATTTTTTCAAGTTTCGCATTTGAATATTGTAATGGCTTATGACAAAACTTGCCTTTGGAGGTCCACGTCGTCGTATAGATCCCCATTTAACGACTATATTCGGTATTTTTAAGATTTTAACGTAATTTTTAACTGATTTTATTTTTTGAAAATTGCTAGTCGTTCCAAATGGTGAAGAGTTCGGTCCGGCTGAACTTACAGCTTTTTTACTTGTTTTATACCTTCAGTTTCCATAAATGTTGTATTCAAACCCGATTTATTTCAAATTTGGAGCTCTTGTTTGGTATTTTTTTTTTATTCAATAATTAATTCCAATCATATTTACTTATTTTTTCAGGTATACCAGACTATCGTTCTGAAGGCGTTGGTCTATATGCCCGAAGTAATCACAAACCTATTCAGCATATGGAATTTGTACGTTCGCCAAGTGTGCGACAACGCTATTGGGCTAGAAATTTTGTAGGTTGGCCAAAATTTTCTTCCACTGAACCGAATGCCACCCATTATTCTTTAGCCCGCTTCGAACGAGAGGGTCGCCTTCAATGTGTAGTTACACAAAACGTTGATCGTTTGCATACCAAAGCGGGAAGCGAAAATGTTATAGAACTTCATGGTTCGGGTTATGTTGTGAAATGTCTCTCATGTGACTATAAAATCGATCGCCATGAGTTCCAGCATATTTTAAACGATTTGAATCCAGAATTTAAAGATGCTCCCGATATGATACGTCCAGATGGTGATGTTGAGATTCCCCAAGAATACATCGACAATTTCCGTATTCCCAATTGCCCGCAGTGTGATGATAATCGTTTGAAACCAGAAATTGTATTTTTTGGTGATAATGTGCCCAAGACACGAGTCAATAGTATAGCTGAAATGATTTACGCCGGAGATGGTCTGTTAGTATTGGGTTCCAGTTTGTTGGTATACTCCGGATATCGTATGGTATTGCAGGCAAAGGACCTAAATTTGCCAGTGGCGATTGTAAATATTGGCGAGACAAGAGCCGATCATTTGGCGGATCTAAAGTTATCAGCAAAATGCGGCGATGTTATACCGAAGTTGTTTAATTTTAAGAACAAATGATGTTTTGTTGTGAATTTAGTATAAATTAATTACTGTAGAGAAAAATAATAGAACAAATTGTTAATAAGTTTATTTTGTAATAAAAGTGGGCAACGAAAGCGTTTACATAAGAAGTACATTGTAATATTGCATTATTTTATTTTGGAAATAGATTTGAAGGGTGTAAATATAATTTTAAATATATTTATATAATTTTTTTAAATACTGTGGAAGAAAATTGAAATTTTCAATAAATTTTCCTTAAAAAAACAAAAAAATTATGCGATTTGCTTTCACCGATAAACCCTAAGCAGGGACGAATGTAGCCTATAAAAGCAAAATAAAGAAACTATTATCTTCTATTTTCCAAGAAAACTTACAAAAAAAAAAAAAAAATAAATGAAAGCAATTTCACGTACATTTACTAAATGGAGGTCAAGTTCTTGACTCCATGAACGCCAGACAAATAAAAATTTATTAGAATATTATTATTTGGCGTTAAATTCCTCACGTTTATTTTCTCAAATATGTACACGTTCATTAAGGGAGGGATGTTCAGAAGAGTTCGTAGCTGTCATTTGTGTTATCGTAGGGATGTTTGTCAAAACATGTTTTTTTTTTAGAAGAAAACCAACAATTTAACACGTACCGAAAATCAAAACAATCTTTAAAACGGGAGAAGAGATACGAGAAAACTTCAAACAAAGATGTTTGAAAATGCGTATACTTAGCACTGTTTTTAAAGTGGGTCTATGTGACGTCTCAGTAGCCGACGTCGACAGTTTTTCTTGAGTGCAAAGTAGAGCAATGTGTACAGTGAGGGGAGTATCGTAATCACCGTACATTGTATTGTCCTCCGCTGCTGCGAATCATTGCTGATAATTTATGTACATTTCATGACTTTGCGTGTGCGTGTGTGTGTTAAAACTTCAAGAAACACAAGGATTTCCATTGTACACATACAATTTAGATGTATTAGTAAGATGTATATTCAAAGAATTAAATAACAGTAGTTAGTGAAAAACTAAAAGGATTTTTTTTTTGACATAAGGCTGACGATCGACTTTTTCGAAAAATTAAAACTTCCAAAATCAGATTTAAAGTAAACGTTTATTTATATTTTTTTTAGCCACTCATTACTTTTTTGTTCTGTGATTTCAATTCCAATAATGCATTTTGACATTGAAATTGCCATTGGCTATCTTTGAAGGGGGGGTCTTATAATTTAGCCTTGGTAAATCCACTAAGTATATATATACAAATCATAGATGGCGGCCTATTGAAAACTAAAAAATCTGACCGGGTAATTTTGCCGTCCGAACCTTTAATACCCTTCACCATTTGGATGGAACGTGCAAAATCTAAAGAGTCCGTTGAGAACACCACTAACATTTTTAAAATTGCGAATAACATGTGTTACAGTTCTATTGGGCTTTAAGATAACATGCACCTCAATTTGCCAGCGGGGGCGGTGCCTATTACAAACTCCAAATACCAAGTTTGAGAAAATTATGTTGAACATGTAAAAAAGAAACATTAAGTTCGGTCGGGCCGATTTTTTAATACCATTCACCTTAGGGTTAGAGTATCATTAGAACCCATAATGATCCACAAATACCAATTTTTGGAAAAAAAAAATCGTGGGAAAATGTGGCAAAAATCATAAAAATACCGAATATCGGGAGGTACCGTTATTTAGGAGCTAAACCAAATCCTGGACCTATACATACAATGTTTCGCCACCGGAGTCATTATGACCAACAAATACAATTTTTTAGGCAATTCCGTGAAAAAATGTGTCAAAATCATCAAAATACCGAATAGCGGTAGGTACCGTTAATGGGAGCTATACCAAAATGTGGACCAATATATCTCATTTTCAAAACCAACCATACTAGGCACAATACAAATTGTTCTGCTAAGTTTTTATGCTCTACGTCAAATAATGTGGGCTGCATCGTGATTTCAATAGACAAAGAGACGGACATACAGACGGACATCTTTATATCGACTTAGAATTTTATGCTGATTATTAATATATATACTTTATGGGGTCTACGACAAATATTTAGGGATGTTACAAACAGAATGACACTTTTCCAAGTTGGAGGGCAAAAGTAACCAGACCAAAGTTAAATGATTTTTGTACCCTCAGCCTTATGGCTATAGAGGGTATATATCATTTGATACGGCCAAAACGTGCCTAGTCGAAATAACGGTTTTAGACCAAATCCGTTTCAGGACATTTGGTATCTATCTAGCGATGTCCGTTCGTCTGTCTGTCTGGCTGGTGCGCACGATAACTTTCGAAGGGAGTATCTGATTTGGTCCAAGTTTGGTACATCGTAGTATTTTTTTCCGAACTCGATCTAAGTTCGGAGATGGGCAACATCGGTCGAAATTTCCAAAAAATATATTTTCTGCACAGAAAGAGAAATGATAATCCGATTATGCTCCAACTTTGCAAATCCTAATATTTGCGTCAGTCAGGTGCGAAATTGGGCAATATAGGTTCACTCCATCAAGTACCTCCCCCACAAAGGGTCGAAATGTTGAATAAATACAACTCTTATAAAATGTGATGTAAGTGTCCGATTGTCTTTAAATTTCACACATCAAAATATTTTTATTGCCCCCAGGCTGGTGTAAAGATGAAATATATTTGTCCACTCCTTCTGGTACCTCCCCCACAAAAGGTCAAAATTTCCAAAAATATATTTTCTGCTCAGAAAGAGAAACAATAATTCGAATTTGCTTCAAGTTTGCAAATCCTAATATTTGCGCCAGTGCTAGGTCAGATGCGAAAATGGACAATATCGGTCCACTCCATCAAGTACCTCTCCCACAAAGGGTCAACATTTTGAGTAATTACAACTCTTATAAAAAGTGATGTAAGAGTCCGATTGCCTTCGAATTTCACACAACCCATTATTTCAATTAACACAAGATCTCTTGTGAAGATGGGGTATATTGATACCTCCCCCACAGAGGCTCAAAATTTTGAATATCCATGAAACTTATAAAACGCGAAATTATCGTTTGATTCCATTTCAGTTTTAGTACATTTCAATATTTCCATCAACACAAGATCTGTTATAAAGATGGGAGAGATCGGACCATTTCTTTTGCTACTTGTCCCACATAGGGTTCAATATTTTGAAAAACAAAACGCTTAAAGAAGGCGTAATAAGCATCCACCTCTCTTCAAATTTCTTACACAAACATTTTTGTGTAAGATCTGTTGTGAAGATGATATACATCTGCGAACGCCTTCTGGTAGTTCACCCAAAAAGGGTCAACATTTTCAATTCCTTTATCTACCAAAACTTGCGAAACAAGACAGCGATTTCTTATAACTTGCCGTATATAAATATTTCTCTCAACCAGAAACCTGAGATGGATATGGAATTTATGATTTCGCATAAAATTGGATATAAATGTTCGAATATTTTTATCTGTATTAGATGAAGTATGCAAATGGATACTTCAGTCGACTCTATCTTCTAACTCACACACATTTTAACTTTTTTAGAAATGTTCATATACCTCATATAAGGTGAAGGAAGTAACCAATATAGTCCAAAACTGGCACGTCGCAATATTTATATCAAATTTATTTAGATCCGATACGAAATGGTCAATATTGGGCTATTCCTTTGGAACCTACGCCATAGAGGGTCAACAATTTGAATGATCAAAATAGAAGTCAAAATATATTTAAATAATCGAACATTGGACTGAGGGTATACATCGGTCGACAAAATCGACTGTCACTATTTAACTTGTTTTACTTCGTCTTTTTCCCATAAAACTTACTGAATATAAGCCACTGTACTGAAAACACACACACACACATAAAATATATTCTGGTTTGTCAGCATGTTTTGTATTGACGACTGTGTAGAAGTTTATGACAACAACAGCAACAATGCCGCGGCAACAGCTAAAGATGAAATCCTTTGTGAAAGCAACAGTTGGCCTTAACAGGTCATAAAAAATCAATTGAAAAGGGAAATGACTTTCTTATTTGATTGTGGAAATGTATAAACAAAAAAAAAACTGCGGCAGAGGAGAGGGATAGAAATAAAATATGTGTATATGAAGTCAATCAAGAAAAGGGAAAATGTAAAGAACTGTAAAGAACTTAAAATTAAGTATTTAATTTATAAAATGAAAATTCTAGGACATCGCGGAAGAATTCATCCATTTTTTTCAAACATAAATGAATTGAACAAAAGATTCCTTTCATGGTAGAAATATCAGGTAGCAACATAGGCGAAAATTACAACAAAGCAACTTTTTTGGAAACTTGATATGTCAAAGTTGTAGTCAGGGCGAATTGATTTGAAGTACAAAATTTGGGGCAAATTGTTTTTCCAATCAAAATATTGAATTACATATGTTCAAAATTGATGTTTTTTCTACTACAAAAGCCAATAATCAAAAATATTCAAAACTTCCAACATCGATTGAAAGTATTGCTGAAGCAGCTGCATCTTGGTTTGATTATAGCACGTTCAATACAACATTTTTTAAAATCACAGACTGGAAATGGAGTGATCGCCCATAATGCGTAGTCTCCAGCGCGCCAACGAAAGACATTTGCGATAATAGATGTCCAATCGTTATTATCTCTTCATCATCCTTACACAGCATGCAGTCTTGGTAACGTTGGCAACGTTGATTTCATATTCAACAGCGATAATGTTCATTACAAGAAAATATCCGGACAATTAGTTTTGATGCTTTAAAATTTGGTTTTGTGTACCTAAAAGGTACTTTAGGATATATTTACTCCTCAGGCTTACTTAAGATTTGGATCAATGATTGAAGAAGATACAGCTTTCAATAAAAATCTGACAATAAATTCAAAATTATAAAAACTCATAAAAAAGTTTTGAATTGAAAATTATAAAAATTGTTTCCCCTTCTAATTACTTTAGGGAAAAATCTATATTTCTCATCTCAACTGTGGACATCCATGGTCCCCTTTATATCGCTTTAACTTAATTTGATTTTTCATCATTTAACCCCAACACCTCGCCTCCCTTCCGCTGATGGGTGATGTTTTGTTGACTTCTTTACAATAGTAATATCCTTCGTAGTACTACAAACCAATACTAAGACAACAATTGCC